TCTGCCCGGGTGGCATCGCGAGTGGGGGCTTGCCGCTCACAGGCGGCTCTTTCAAGCGCGTCGGCTCCATCGCTCCCATCATCCTCTCGCCGTAGACTCTCCGCTGCGCTTGGCTGTGGACCGTCTGTGTTTGTTTCATCCCACGCCCAGCTCCGGCCGGGATCCTCACTCCCTATATCGGTAATCTCGGGGTACAGGGGCATGTTCGTCATGCCTTGAAAGAGTCCAACCAATGCCGGGGGCATCTCAGGTTTCACGGGTGCGGCCAACTCCACGCTGTACTTGTGCTTTTGCCGTCGGATGCGGGCATTCTTGAGATCTGGATGCTGATCGACATCGGCCCGAACAATTTCCGCCGCCGCACGCACGATCTCCATCCTCGCGTCTGCCTCTTTCGCTACTTCGAGAAGACGCCTCACAATCTGCAGGGACGTATTTCCACCGGACGTGGCGTTTGCGGCCGTGCTCGGACCATTGAACGTGTTCGCCAGGCGCGCCCGTAGGGCGAGGGATGCGATAACCTCGTCCCGAGCGTTGACCGGGAAGAGACACAGTAGTCGTTGGCGCCCGTCTCCAAAGCCCCCCTCGCTGCTGACCACCCGCGCTTGGCTCCCATCAGCGCTCGCGATGCTCTCGAACATCTGGCGCACGGCCTTCCGCCCGCTCCTACGCTCAAGTTCTTGGTCACCATCCTTTGCGCGCTCAGCTGAGAGCCAGTCGAACACATCCTCCCAGTAAAGGATGTCCCCGCGAGCTACGGCTTTAATCACCAACGCGCGCACCCGGCTGAACGGCTTCTCCGGCGCCGGTTCATCGGCTTCAGGTCGGCCCGAGTTGCTCGATGCCGCAACCTTTTATTGAGTAGCTTCTCCGATGGCCCGGATTCGAGCTTGATTGCAGGCCTGGCAGTACCAAGCTTGTGTGCGTCCTGATCCACCACCCTCCGTTATGTTATCGTCCACGACGTCCACACTGTACCACCTCTTCTGGTCCTTCACAGGGTACCCTCTCTTGCACACGCAACATGTTCGGAGCTCCGGCTTTGCTTCCCTCTCGAGAAGAAAACCGTAGAAACAATCTCGGCGTTGGCAAATGCAGTCGTTGCTGGGACAAAATCCTCGCACGAGAGGTGGAGGCAGCTCCCCCTCTCCTTGGTACTCGGCCAAAAACAACCGTGTCGCTCGTTCAAGCCGTGGCCCTCTGAATTGCGTGAAGCCAGCTAAGCCCTCCGACCTATGGCATGCGGAGCATAGCTTGTCACTGACGGCGTGCACTACGCCTGAGGGGCACATGCTGCATTCGAGACCCGGGTTGTTTGTGAACCAACCGCACTCCGCACGCCTACAAGGTTTCTTGCGTGTTTTTTTCTCGGCTCCGATCTGAGTATTCCTAACTCCAGGATCAGACTGTCTTCGCGCTGCACTCCGCTTGACGGAGCGAGAGCCAGCTGTTCCAAGGTTTCCACCGCAACTTCGACGCCGGAATTCAACTGTCCACTTGCCTCCAGACTTCAACTTCTCACGTTCAGCTTCGGCAATCTCTCGCTCTCTGCGGACCTTTGTTCGTGTGTCTGGATACGAGCATGGTAGATCTGCTAGCAGCACGGGGGG